AAGAAATGAGTCAGCTGTCATTTGTATTGTCAGAATGAAGCAAGAGAGGTCAAAAAACAAGTCTTTTTGAATTAGCTTAGTTAAACGTAAATGATTTGTTTTAAAGTTTTGCGTCGAAAGAAGAAGAACACAAAATCAACTTACACTACGGCAGAAAGAAAACAAAAGATTGTATGACACCTCGTATTTGTATTGTATCAAAAAAAAGTCGTACACATGGAAAAAACCTTTCTAAGGAACCGCACTTGCACTAGGACTCGATGGATTAAGCACTTCGACTTAGATTCAATATATCCTCTGTTTAGACTTGCCAAGTTCCGCTCAGAATAGAAAGCCATGCTTACAACTGCAATCTGTTGAGTTTCTGGTACCCATTCTTTACCCTTGTTAATAAGATTCGATGGTAATGGAAACCACGGTTGAATTTCCAAATAGGACTGAGAATTCATCCATGAGAACGGAAATGGGCCTATATCGCCCATTGGATTTGTTCTGTACCAACAGTCGTTCTTTAAACAGTTTTATTTATAGAGAAAAAATCGAAAAAAACGTTTTGATTTACTTTTGTTAATTCTGGATAATCAGGGTTAAAATTGAACATTGTATAATCGTGTGAGGGTGGCTAAAAAATGTGCATTTTTAATCCTTTTTTAGTTCTAGCCAAGCATCTTCTACTTACTGGATCTGATTGAGCACCTTTAGGCTTATACTTAACCATGTAAGTTTCATTTTGTTTTGCTCGCCAACCTGGAACGTCAAAACGAACTCTTGAGTTTGTATAATCGTACAATAATTGTTGTACACCTGGAGTCAGTGTTGTAAATAATCCACTCATATTCAATACCGCTTGAAACTGTTTCGGAAAACCCGTTTGACTTGAACATTGATTGACGTATAGAGTCAGTAATACTACGATCGTAATTTGTCTCATTTTTTCAAACGTTTATTATTCCACACGGAATAGTGTCACAGCAACAAAATGCTTTTATTTTTCTATCTTTCGAAGAGATAACAAGGAAAGAAATAACCTTGAAGTATGAATATTTTTTCTACCATCACAATGACAGATATTATATTACACTTTGATTTTAGTTTTAATACTCGTTATTTATTTTATACGCCGTCAGCAATTATACATTTTGTATACCATAAAGATTGACCTACATTTTCATTTGCACTGGAAACACTCATGATCATCCAAATAGAAATGTGATTAAAGTTTTTCATTTAAAAATATCACTACACTGTAATTTGGAATTAATTTCCAGTTTATAGAAAATCGATCTGGAAAATTGCGAGGCTTTTTCTGATATGTATAAAATGCTCGTAGATTTTCTGACTTTTTAGAAAAGACGGGGGCGATTATTTAATGGAATCGGCCCCTGCTTGAATGCATATGCATTGTATTGAAATTGAAATTGTATTTAAATGAAATTATATGCAAAATATTGTATTTCAGGTACACTCTATCTCTCCTGTAATATGTAAATAACCCCTTAGTGGCTGCGTGTGATTCCAAAGCACTCAAACATGGACTGCTGGAACGTGTGATGGTAAGATGCCCTAACAGATGCGTAAAATGTATACTTCCGTCTCTTTCTGTTATTAGATGACTTTTTTTAGCGGTATCAAGAAATTATGTACTGATGGTATCCGTGCCATTGTAAACGGAAATGAAAAACATTATTTTGGTGCGCTATTTTTCACCATCGGCGATTATCCTGCCCAACAAGCGATACATGGACGTAAAGAATCGGTGGCAGCAAACCGATTTTGTCCTGCATGTGATGTGCTCATTGAAACTTATCAGACTACGATTGATCAGGTCAAATACATGACATTGAGTTTGTTATGAGACAACAGCTGTTTTGACTAAAATCTGCGAAGAACAAACTACAGAAATCAGCTGATGATAATTACAGATGAACAATTGTTTATCTTTAGATCTGTTTAATTTAGATTCCAGTCGATTGTGCTTTGAACGATTATAATGATGCGTGTCAAATAATTGAAACTATGGTACGTGGAGGGAACAAAGTTTTAGCAGATTTTTGGCGAAAATTCCATGGCATAAACAAGCGAAGCAGTTTCTCAACCTTGCCACATTTTGATGTTACAATGCAAGTACTATCTCACAGTGGGCATTTTTTGCAAGAGCAAGCGGACTTTAGCTTTATGAGTGAACTAAAATTTCATGAACCATCTTTTTATAGGTTTTTCATGATCCTCTTTCTAATGGCATGAGAGTTGGGTTTTAAAAAAGTTTTCTAAGGAGT